GTTGCAAGGCCGGCGGCAGCGGCCGGGACTGTTGGGGGCGGGGTGTGTGGCCTTATGACACACTTCCGGTGATGTCAGGGGGTGTGGCATATGCCAATGAATTATGCTAATGAGTTCCCCTAGCTCTTTTTCTACGAAACGACCCCTGCCTACAATTATGTTCTAAATACATGATCAGTGGCTCAAAATATATGATCAGTGAGCTCCCTCTCATTGACAGTCTTTAAGCAGCGTCTGGGCAAACGTATTAGTTTGCCGTTCATTCTCTGGCTACAAGTTTGAACCTTGCCTGCCATTCTAAGGTATTCGATAAAGTGTGTGTGCACACGAAAGCCCATACCTTGAATAAACCTTTGTTGGTATTAAAGGTGCCACTGGAGTCTAAATTTGTTGGGCAAACACTTGTCCAGGGATGCTCTAGGCGGATCCTGCATTGAGCAGGGGGTTGGACGAGATGGCCTGTAGGGCCCCTTCCCACTCTGCGTGATTCTGTGATTCTACGAAAATGAACCTCTGCCTGCTGGCGCTCGTGTGCTCCTGTTCATGCACATAAGAGACAATGCGCTCGAGAGCTGGAGTCAGGCTATTCCGGGGAGGACTCTCTTTCTGAGCAAGGGGCAGCAGCCCCAAGAAGCCCTTACAAGCTGAGAAAGAGACAAGGAAGAGGGAAGTAAAGGCGGAAGGACTCTGAATTGTGCCTTTAAGGGATATATAGTGGGATGATTAGGGGGTACTTGGCTATGTCAGTTAAAAATTAAGATTAACAGAAAAAGAGATGTATTAAGGTTAGACTCGGTTTGTAAAGACTTAAACGAAGTGAAGACTTGAAGAAGACAGCGGAAATGAATAGCTCCTCTCTTGGGTTTTTAGATAGTAGTGGGTTCTTCTCTTTATCCTGTATATGTAGTTCCCCCTTCCTTATTTCTGTTATAGTTTTGTAGTATTGTAAAAAAATAATAAAAAATCCCCTCAGGGGGCTTAAAAAAAAAGAAAGAGACAATGCGTTCGCTTCTTGCCTGGAGGTTCAATTTGTTGAAGGCATTGCACTGGCTGCCAAAAGGTTACCGGATTCGTTTCAAGGTGCTGGTTTCGACCTTTAAAGCCCTATATGGTCAGGGGCCTGCCTACTTGAAGGACCGCCTTTCCCCACATGTGCCCCAGAGAGCACTGAGGTCAGGGACACAGAATCGCCTGACTCTCCCTGGCCTGAGAGACGGCAGGTTGGCCATTACTAGGGCTAGGGACTTTTCAGTGGCGGCTCCACACTGGTGGAATGAGCTCCCGGAGGGACCTTCTACAGTTCTGCAGAGCCTGTAAAATGGAGCTCTTCCACCAGGCTTTCGAGTAGGATTCGCCACTGACCAACGAGCCACCGGAACATACTACAGCCCGTATGGTACACCAGTGGATACTGCCTTCCACTATGGGATTGTATACTGAATGCCACCATCATTTGCACAGTTCTTATTAGCACTTTACGATGTTACGTAGATTGTTTTGGGATATTTTATTGTATTTATTGTTTTATTCAGGGGTCATTTCGTAGAAAAAGAGCTAGGGGGACTCATTAGCATAAATCATTAGCATATGCCACACCCCCTGACATCAGCGGAAGTGTGTCATAAGGCCACACACCCCGCCCCCAACGGTACCAGCCGCCGGTGCCAACCTTGCAGCTCCACTGCCGAGCCCGATGAGGGGCCCGGCGGTGGACCTGCAAGGCCAGCGGGAGTGCAAGGAAGCCCCGCGAAGGCCCTCCCTGGCCCCAGGCAGGCAGGGGTGGGGAGAGGCAGGGAGGAAGCAACTTACCCTCCCTCTTCTCCTGCCTCCTCCTGGCTGAATGAGGGCCGGAAGCGGGGAGGCCGGAAGCAGGGGGCGGGGCTTTGTCATGTGCCCCGCCCCCCGTACCTCACCTGGGGGAACTGCGTTCCCCCGCGTTCCCCCCCGAAATGACCTCTGGTTTTATTGCATTTAATGCTTGTACGCTGCCTTGAGCCAGTTCCCCGGCAAGGTGGGATGTAAATTGAAAATAATAAATAATAAATAATTTTTGCAGGGACTGAAACCCCAAGAACAGCAGCTCCAGCGCCTCCAAATGCCAACTTCCCCTGAATCCCCTCCTCAAGGGTGAAAAAGGAACAGGGACTGGACAATCGAGGCTGTCACTAGGGAGCAGCGTGTGGCCTACGCAGCGGCCTGGCCTTCCCCACTGCCCACTTGCCCATGGGACCATCACGTACCTCCATCTGTCCGATTCCAGCCACTTCCTGTCCTTCAGGCGAAAGCGATGGACTGGAGACATTCAGGCAATGGGTCCCCCTGCCTGCAGTGAACGGAAGGGAGACTTTAGAAGGGGGGATCGCTCCGTCTGTAGTCTGAGCCAATGCAAAAGAGGAGAGAGGGGCTCAGGAGCAATGTTCCCTCTAAGCTGGGGAGGCTTCTGAGCAAAAATTCTACTTTGTGAGCTACTGGCATGAAAGTTGTGAGCCAGCAATTTGGCTACAGCATAAATTAGTTTGCTCTGGAGCCTTCCTTCCTTCCTGAGCTGAGACAAAAATGTGTGAGCTGGAGGCTAAAAAAATGTGAGCTAGCTCACACTAACTCAGCTTAGAGGGAACACTGCTCAGGAGGGAATGTGGGCCGAAGCATGCAGTGTGGGCAAAGCCCTACCGAAATCCCCTCTTCTCTTCTGCCAGGTACAATGTCTTCCTTTGTACCTCTGAGGCAAGAGGTCCCCCACCTTTTTTTTTAAATTGAATTTTTTTTTAAAGTTTTCTCTTTAAAAGGGTGGGATACACAAGGAAAAGAGGGGTATGGGGAAAATATACATTCACCAAGTTTGTGAAATATTATGAATTGTTACATACAACAAGTAAAATCAGACGGATTACCAAATGTATTACATGTTTCAAATATAAAAGCAAACAATAAAACTTCAATATTACAGAATTTGGGGATAGACTCTCTCTATAAAGAATAAACAAGAACTTTCCTAAGGTTAGTGATAATCAATTAACAAAAATACATCTTTAACAATTGAACAAACTTCTATACTAAAATTAAATCATTGTAAAAACCTTAATATTGTCTCGATTGTTTATCTAATTCTAAATTTTATTCTTACTAATTATTTAATTACGAGTGGAATACAGAATAAAATATTAAAACTACAATCAATATCTTCATCGCCTTTAATATAATATTCAGGTAATTCCAGAACTTTTTAAAAAGTTAGTTATTCCCAGGGGTCATTTCCTGCAGGAGTTCACAGGAGCAGAGCTCCGGTAGTAAAGAGCCCAGGGGGCGGGCACATGCAACAAGCCCCACCCCCTGCTCCCAGCAGCCCTCAGTCAGAGCAAGAAGCAGCCAGGTAAGTTGCAGAGCTCCCCCCAGCCCCCCAGTCCTAAACAGTCCAGTGGCACCTTTAAGACCAAGTTTTATTCAGGTACAAGCTCTCGCTCCTCTGCGAGGGCAGATCTGCACGCTCCCCCCCCCCCAATAGCTAGCAATTCAAAACAGTCCAGTGGAGCCTGAGTGGTGGGTGTTGCCTTCTGACACACTTCCAGTGATGTCAGGGGTGTGGCATATGCAAATAAATTATGCTAATAAGTTATGCTAATGAGCTCCTGCACCTCTTTTTCTACGAAATGACCCCTGGCTATTCCCATAGTATGAGTAATAAGCTTGCCATTTCTGCTGAAGGGTAGTCGCTGGTATTTTGCTTATATCACTGGCTTCTCGGCCTTTTGGCTAAGATCAAGGGTAGGTCCCCAACCTTTTTGAGCCTGAGGGGATCTTTGGAATTCTGACACCACAAAATGGCCACTGTGGGAGGCAGAGCCACCCACAACCACAGACAGAAGCTCAAGTGCGGGGGACAAGAGGAGTAAATATTAAAAATTCACTGGGAAAGAGGAATCAGTGGTAGAGCCCTCTGCTTGCCACCCAGAAGGTCCCAGGTACAAGCCTCGGCATCTCCAGTTAAAAGGACCAGGTAGGAGGTGAGGTGAACAATCTCATCCTGGAGAGGCGCTGCCAGTCTGAGGAGACGAGACTGACTCTGATGGGACCAACAGGCCTGATTCAGTCCAAGGTGGCTGCGCTTTCAAACAATGCCAAATGAGTTCCTAACAGGCTGGTATGCCAAATACCCAACTGATCAACATATCTGCCTGTGGAAGAGCTCTGTGGAAGATCTACCACGTTATGTATTGACCTGTCCCTTGTACTTGGGTCCCAGGAATAAATTCCTGGCCATGATTTTAGCCAATCTAGAGTCCTTTTCTGAGTCTGAAAAAGTGTTTATATGCTCTCTGATAAGGAGCCTTCTGTTTCGTACAGAATGGCTCTTTTTTGCCCTGGCTGCTAGGAAGATCAGAGCGAACTCAGTCTCTAAAAATATCTCCAACTGCATTGTTCTAGTATTATTGTGCTGATTGTATGCTGAGGCTTTAACCTTGCCTGCCTGTAATTATGTTTTAGTAAAGGTAAAGGTTCCCTTGCTCGAAAGCCAGTCGAATCCGACTCTAGGGTTGCGGTGCTCATCTCCGTTTCAATGCCGAAGAGCCAGCACTGTCCGAAGACGTTTCCGTGGTCATGTGGCCAGCATGACTAAACACCAAGGCGCACGGAAGGCTGTTACCTTCCCACCGAAGCGGTATCTATTTATCTACTTGCAATTTCTTGCTTTCGAACTGCTAGGTTGGCAGGAGCTGGAACTAGAGACGGGAGCTCACTCCGTTATGCGGCACCCGGGTCTCGAACTGCTGAACTACTGACCTTCCACAGCCTGCAGTTCAGCGTCTTAACCACTTGAGCCACCGCAGCTCAATTATGTTTTAGATATGTTTTAATTGTGAAGGCCAGCGGCCATGAATAATAAATTCAATACAGACACGGTGCAAGGCAGCTTCGTGCGTTCACACTGTAGCGGCAGCTGTCTGCCCATCCAACGGGCAATCTGAAGTCCTATTGAGTAGGAGCCCACCTGGTCCCACCCGTACACGGATCAAGACAAAACGCAGAGGTCTTTCCCATCACCTGTTATCTGATCCTTTTAACTGGAGGGGCTGGGGGCTGAACCTAGAACCTCCTGCAGACCAAGCAGATGCTCTGCCATTGAGCCATGGCCCCTCCCCTGAGATAGCCATGTGAAATAAAAATCAGTTTCTTATGAAAATCTTGCCCTCCGGTTGAAGTTAAAAATGGGAGGGAGGGAGGGAGGGAGGGGGCATCTAATGAAGCTGGTGGGCAGTAGGTTCAGGACGGACAAAAGGAAATACTACTTTACACAAAGGGTGATTAAAATGTGGAATTCGCTGTCAGAGGATGTAGTGATGGCCACAGGTATTCCAAAGAGAATTAGACAGATAAGCCTACTAATGCCTGCTAGCCATGGTGACTGAGGGGAACATCCACATTCAGAGGCAGGAAGCCTTTGAATCCCAGAACCAGGAGGCCACATCAGGGGAAGGCCTCACCCTCTGTGCCCTGTTGTTGGCCCTCCAGAGGAACTGGTTGCCCACTGTGCTTGACAGGATGCTGGACTAGATGGACTACTGGTCTGATCTAGCAAGGCTTAAAGGAAGGAAGGAAGGAAGGAAGGAAGGAAGGAAGGAAGGAAGGAAGGAAGGAAGGAAGGAAGGAAGGATAGTTTCTGTTGTAAAAGTGGGGAATTTTGACAGATGTGGCTCTTCACATCCCACACCTGCCAAATTCCCCTCTTCCAAGGAACAGGACTAAAGCTTTGGCCTTCCTTGACTGCAGATCACCAGAACCATCCCCGAAACATGACTGATGTGGAAGACAGAGAAACTCCATGAATCCTCACCCGGCAAATGGCTCTCCCCATCGCCGTTCTGTCTGATGTCCTCGTAGATCTCTCTCTGCACAGCGTCTGACTCCTCCTCCTCTCCCTCCGGGGAACGCAGGCAGACCTCCTGCAGCAGCCCCAGAAAAAGAGAACAATCCAACTCAACACAAAGCGGATTTTGGTGACGCTTGCTAGTTAAATCACAGAAAATAAATAGTATCAAATAAATTTTGGAATCATCTGCAGTTGCCAATAATAAGTATTAATCATTGTGATTGACCAGGAATAATTTTAAAAAATCAAAGCCATTAATTGTTTGGTACCGTCTCCTTTTGTTAAAATGATCATGATAATAATTTAGAAGAAGAAGAAGAGATTGGATTTATACCCTGCCCTTCACTACCTGAAGGAGTCTCAGAGTGGCTTACAAACTCCTTTCCCTTCCCCTCCCCACAACAGACATCCTGTGAAGTAGGTGGGGCTGAGAGAGCTCTCCCGAGAACTGTCCTTGAGAGAGCAGCTCTGAAAGAACTTGTGCCTGACCGAAGGTCACACCAGCAGCTGCATGTGGAGGAGTGGGGAATCAAACCCGGTTCTCCCAGATTAGAGTCCATGCTCTTAACCACTGCACCAAACCGGCTCTCTACAGTACACCAAACTGTAAGACTTCCTAAAATAATAATGTAAGACTTCCTAAAAATACTTAAAGCAGTTACAAGATATTATTATGGGCAACCATGACTATTTTGTATGACTGCGCCACAAAGGTAGAAGTTCCTTCTGGAGGCTCAGCCAAGTATGAGCTTGAGCATCTTCTGGTTGGGTTCCCTTCGGTTTCGGTGACTGCAGTTAAGCTGGGTATTAGCATTCTGTTTTATTTTGGGACTCACCTGCCATTTCTCTGCTTCGGCCTCTTGCTGGCTCAGCAAGAAATCCTCGACCAGGGCCACGGCCTGGGCACAAGTTTCTGGCTCCCCTGCCCTAATCCAGCTCTGCAGCTCCGGCGGCAGGATGGCCAGGAACTGCTCCAGGATCAGCAGCTCCAGGATCTGCTCCTTCGAGTGCCTCTCCGGCCTCAGCCACCGGCAACAAAGCTCCTGCAGCTGGCTGTAGATCCGGCGCGGGTCCTCCACCTCCCGGGAGCGGAACTGCCGGAAGTGCTGGCGCAGGGTTTCCATGCGGTTGGCTTCCCAGCGCATGATGGCCACCTTCACTTTCCCATAATCCTCCCTGTCTCCGGCCTCCAGGCTTTCAAACGCCTGCTGGGCTTCTCCGCTCAGTGCTGGCAGGAGCCGGACCACCCACTCTCCCCTGGGCCACTGGCAGGCTTGGGCCACCTGCTCAAAGGAGGCCAGGAAGGCCTTGGTGTCCTCCCAGGGGCCGTGTTTCTTCCCCCACCCGGCCTGAGGGGGATCCAGCCTCCCCAAGAAGTCCTGCCACTGGGCTTCCCAGTGTGGTTCCTCTCTGCCCTCTCGCCACGCTCTCCACCTGGGCTGCTCCTTCATAGATTCAGGATGAACCATCCTGATCGTTTCTCCTGCTTCTCCTGGGCCCTCTTCTCGTTCTGCGCTTGCAGACTTTTGCTTTCTTATCACATTCATTCCTGGTTGTGTTCTCACAAATCCAGAACCAGAAAGCAAAGTGATGGTTCTCCAGTCAGGTTGATTCCTGAGGGAAACCCTCAGTCCCAAATATCTTTCTTGACTGCCTCTACATTCCTCTGAGAGGATGATCTGACCTCTGGGTTGAAGGGCCTGAAACTTGCTGTTCTTTCTTCATGGGCGAGAACTACCAGTCTCTCAAGGCCATTCCCCAGAGATGATTCTGCTTCACACAGGAAGTTTTTCCCCCTGGGATAAAGAAAGACACAGTTACTGTTCAAGGAACATGCAATTTGAATGGACCAAAGCAATGGTATTCCCAGTAGTCATGTATGGCTGCGAGAGTTGGACTATAAGGAAGGCCAAGCGACGAAGAATAGATTCTTTTGAACTATGGTGCTGGAGAAGACTCTTGAGAGTCCCTTGGACTGCAAGAAGAACAAATCAGTCAGTCCTAAAAGAAATCAACCCTGACTGTTCCCTGGAAGGCCAGATAATGAAACTGAAGCTCAAATACTTTGGCCACCAAATGAGAAGGGAGCACTCACTGGAGAAGACCCTGATGCTGGGAAAGATTGAAGGTCAAAGAAGACGGGGACGGCAAAGGATGAGATGGTTAGACAGTGTCATCGATGCAACGAACTTGAAATTGAGCAAACTTCTGAGGCCGGCGGAAGACCAGAAAGCCTGGTGGGATCTGGTCCATGGGGTTGCGAAGAATCGGACTCAACTGTGCGACTGAACAACAACAAAAACGTCAAAATTCATGACCAGGGAGTGGGAAAACTGGGAAATACACCTGTATATTTTGTATACATCAACGATGACTTCATCAAGACCTAGGGGGGCTGAGAGGCTGAGCCACAAAGCCCCAAGTTCAACACCCACCTTAATCATGAATTCAGTAAAAACTGTAGGCAAGCAGCCCTTTCCTTCTGAAAGAGTCAAGACAGACTGGAAAGGCCACCCCCTTAAAAAGAAATTTTTTCAGATGACATCATTGCCTCTTCACCTTCTAGCGGCAGGTCCATGTATGGGCAGCCATTTTGTTCAGGGAGTGTCTCCTAGCAACGACTCCAACCAGAAGGCCTAAATGGACCTTTGGACTCTATGGCGGGACACACCTGGAGATTTAAGGGGTGGAGCCTGAGGAGGGTGGGGCTTGGGGAGGGGAGGGGCCTCAGCAGTGTATATTGCCATAGAGTCCACCCTCCAAAGCAGCCATTTTCTCCAGGGGAATGGATCTCAATCATCTGCAGACCGATTGTAATAGTGGAAGACCTCCAGGTGCCACCTGGAAATTGGCAATGCTAGGTACTGCCTAAGAGGAAGAGCTGTTCTTTGGGCCCCTGTACTGGGTGGGACAGATATGTGGTTGGATGAGGCAGTAGGGAAGGATATTGACATTTAAATGTTACATTTAATGCCAACCTGCAGGTGGGGCCTGGAGATCTCCAGGAATTACAACTGATCTCCAGACGGCAGAGATCAGTTCCCCTGGAGAAAATGGCTGCTGAGGTCCCTCCCCTTCCTCAAACCCCACCCTCCCCAGCCTCCACTCCCAAATTTTCCAGGAATTTCTCAACCCAGGAGTGTCATCCCCTGTCTCTTCTCCTCCCCACTCAAAGCGGGCCCGGCAGCTACATGTTACTGCCTAGCTGACCGACAGCAGCTGACGAATTAGCAACAGAGACTGAGGGGGTAAGTCTCTGAAGACAGGGACCTGAGGACACATTCTTAAGATCATAATAATATCATTTCTATAGCCTTGTTTGAGGAATCTAAGTGTTTTATGTATATTCCATCTCAGTCTTTCTTATAAGGACCCTACATAGGAAGGGCTGGGTTATTACACCCATTTTGCCAGTTTGGTGTAGTGGGCCAGTTTGGTTAAGTGTGCGGCCTCTAATCTGAGAGAACCGGGTTTGATTCCCCACTCCTCCACTTGCAGGGATTAGACGGATTCACAGAGGACAGGTCTATCAGTGGCTACGAGCCATGGTGACTAAAGGGAACCTCCACGTTCAGAAGCACTAAACCTCTGAATCCCAGTGCTAGGAGGCAACCTCAAGGGAAGGCCTCAGCCTCTGGGCCCTGTTGCTGATGCTGGCCTAGACGGACCCCCTGGTCTGATGCAGCAGGGCTCTTCTTATGTTCATTTCAAATCCCAAAGGAGAAAGTCAGTTTCCTTGCAGGCTGAGAACAACAGGAATCCCCTTGCAGCCTCTGTATTAGCAAAGTCTGAGATCAATTTAAGGTGTTGCACAAATCGTGCCAGTGTACCGGGCATCTGACATTGTGAGAGAACCCAAGACAGCTCCCTGCCCCAAAGAGCTTACAGACTGTAAATGTGGCTGGAGGGAGGCCGCAGTAGCCAAAATATAACTTCATCATCCTTTCTCATGGAAGATAAGGAACAAAAGGTGAGGCCAAATTTTTTTTGGGGGGGTAGCACTGAATGAAAGAAACCCTCTGCCTCCCCCCAGGGCTAAGCACCTGTGATCAACCACAGAGACTTCCCCTTAGGGGTGCCAACTCCAGGCTGGGAAATTCCTGGAGATTTGGGGGCAGTGCCTGTGGATGGCGGATGCCGGGAAGAGATTTCACCTAGAAAGTATGGTGCATCATTGATTATGCCCTTGTATTTTCTCCAGAGAAACAGATTTCCGTAGTCTAGAAATCAGATGTAATTCCGAGGGAACTTCAGCCTTCACCTGGAGCTTGGCATCCCTATGTTCTTGTCTGTGTTTCATGTTCAAGGGGTGCTTCCTCCCAAAAGCCCCTTAAACCCTTGCAGCCACTGAAAACCAAAAGGCCTCACAGAGGAAGGGGGGTGGGTGTCATTTGCCTTAAATCATACAATCGCTCTGGAGTCGACCCTTTTGAGGGTGACCTCTCCTGGTATTTGAAAAAGTGTGCTTTGGTAGGGTTGCCAAACCTACAGGTGGTGGCTGGGGAGATCTCCTGGGATTACAAGCTATTTCCAGATGACAAAAATCAGTTCACCTGGAGAAAATGGCTGCTTTGGGTATAGTCTATATCCCACTGAAGCCCCTTCCCAAATCCCACCCTCTTCAGGTTCTACCCCCAAAATCTCTAGGTATTTTCCAACCCGAAGCTGGGGACCCTAGGAGGAAGGCAGGAGAGGGCTGAGCAGCCTAGAGCTATCCCCACATAACGTTACCATTTGATGGGGGAGGCGAAAGGGTAAATCGCTTGCAACAATCCCGTTTCACCGCCCCTTCCCCACAATTGCACAGAGGAGTGGGGTTAAGCGGAGGAACAAGGGCTCCTCACAGCCCTGCAAGGTAGTCTGAGGTAGATCAAGATGGGCAGCCGTGTTAGTCTGTCAGTAGCAGCAGACAAGAGTCCAGGAGCACCTTAAAGACTAACAACATTATGTGGCAGGGAATGGGCTTTCGTGAGTCACGGCTCACTTCTTCAGACAGTCTGAGGCGTTCTTCACGTGGCGGAAAGGGGGTGGCATTTACCAACAATGTAAAGGACGACAGCAGCGGGAGGAAGGGCTGAGCTTTTGTCCTGAATGGCACATCGCAAAAAAACAACAACAACGCCCCAAGGCTCTGAGTAAATACGAAGCAACCCTCTGTCCGGGGTGGGGCGTTAAGGAGTTCTGCTCCCAGCTGCACAGACAACAACCTCTTGGGCCCTGACTCTGGGAAGTCCCAGGATGTAACCCTGAGTCTTCCCATGCCACTTTCAGGGTTCGTGATTGCGCTGCAATCCTCCCAACAGTCCTGCAAGGTAGGCCAACCTCATTATCCCACACATGTTGCAGAGAGGGGGGCTGAAAGAGACAACGGCTTGCAAGAAGCCATTCAGTGAGTGGCAGAGGCAAGGTCTGAATTGCAGACCTCCCGAATCGCACAGCTCCTTCTCTCCGCCGCCTTGCTACGCTTGGTCCCCTTAGGCAGCTCTCCTGTTTTGCAGGACAGAAGTCCAATTTCAAGCACCCCGTTCTCCGATCACTGGCATGCAGAGCGCATTGTGCGCACTTACCACTCTGAGAAAAGATCTATGGAGTGCCCAAATAATACCGGAAGCCGGTGGGGCCGGGTGTAATTCTAGTCTTTTTCTATCTCTATGATGGGAACAGGAAATACGTGTACTGCCACGCTAGCTTTGCCGCCACTCTATTCCCCCCCCCTCAGAAAACTACATTTCCCAAGATTCACAGAGAAAGAGAGAGAGAGAGACCCATATTAGGAGCAATGACTTTTAAAAGTCCGCAGTTGCCAATTGTAATCATTTCTATAGCAGAGGCTTGTTATATAGAAATCATCTGGGAATTTTTTTCCAGGCAAGAAATTCAAATATTTCCTCAGATTAGTTGATGGGTTTAAAAGTCCGCAGTTGCCAATTGTAATCATTTCTAGCAGAGGCTTGTCATATAGAAATCATCTGGGATTTTTTTTCCAGGCAAGAAGTTCAAATATTTTCTCAGATTAGTTGATGGGTTCAGAGTTGTGTGTTGCCAACGTCCAGGTGGGGCCTCCCTGGAATTATAACTGAACGTTGTATGGTTCAGAATCAGGTGGGCAACCCTATTGGTCTTTAGCGACAGAACAAAGCTTGGGTCCAGTGACACCTTGAAGACCAACAAGGTACACGCTTTCCTTGAATAAAACTTTGTTGGTCTTCAAGGTGCCACTGGACTGTTTGTTCTTGTTCTGTATGATTCAGTTCCCTGGAAGAAAGCGGCTGTTTTGGAGGGTAGACTCTATGGCATTACACCCCACTGAGGTCCCTCCTCTCCTCTCTCCAAATTCTGCCCTTTCCAGGTTCCACCCCCAAATCTCCAGGAAGTTCCCAAACGAGTTGGCAAGGTGTCACTGTTAAGGAGAAACCTACTGGGAAAGGAGTGCGCTGGGCAGGGTGGGTGCTCTGGGCCCTCCAGAGTGGTGGCAGCCATTAGAGAACCTTTCTAGCTGCTGCCAGATAAAATATTTGCACTTGTTAGCTGCCCGCAGGACGTTGTTTTCACACTTCTTCATTTGCCACATTGTCGTCCACTCACCCAGTTTGTTGAGATCTTCAGGAGAGGTCTTGGCCTCTACGTCCTGTTGTTGGCCTTTCAGAGGAACTGGTTGGCCACAGTGTGGGGGCAGGATGCTGGACCAGATGGACCACTGGTCTGACCCAGCAGGGCTCTTCTTATTTTGTTATTGGGGACTGTTGTTATTGACTGCTATCAATTTACACCAGGGGTGTCAAACAAGCGGCTTGGGGGCCGGATCAGGCCCCTGGAGGGCTTCTATCAGGCCCGCAGTGGAACTGGCTGTCTTCTGCTTCTTCTTCCAGTTCTGCTGCTGCATCATTGTAGGTTTGCAGCTTACAGATACACACCTGAAGAACATACTCAAGATTGCAACAGCACAGACATCTTGATGCAATAATTCAGAGCAAGAGGTGTCAGTTATCAGATTCTGTTAAATAAACAAAATATTGCAAGAGTGCTAACATTTTAAGCATGTTTTTATTTTAAGTAAAAAAACCCTTTGTGTGTGTGTCCTCTGCTACCTGGCATTACATTTTATGACACACATGGCCCGGCCCAACAAGGTCTCATTTATGTCAGATCCGGCCCTCATAGCAAATGAGTTTGACACCTCTGACTTACACTATGTAATCCACCTTGCGTGATGTGCTATGGTATAGTATAGCCTGTTCCCATCAGATCTTGGAAGCGAAGCGAAGTCAGTACTTGGATGGGAGACCAAGGGAGCCCATGGCAAAACCACCTCTGCTTAATCACTTGCCTTGAGAACCCTGTGGAGGTTGCCGGAACTCGGCTGCTACACACACAAATCTGTCTTGAGTCTCAGTGAGAAACGCAGATGATAAATAGCAGAAATAAAAATAAATCCAGAATGGAACAGTGATTATGAAAAGTATCACCCTAGTAGGGGTGCCAGCCTCCATGTGGAGGAGGAGGAGATCGGATTTATACCCCGCCCATCACTACCTGAAGGAGTCTCAGAGCGGCTTACAAACTCCTTTCCCTTCCCCTCCCCACAACAGACACCCTGTGAGGTAGGTGGGGCTGAGAGAGCTCTGAGAGAATCGCTCTTGAGAGAACAGCTCTGAGAGAACTTGTGACTGACCCAAGGTCACACCAGCAGCTGCATGTGGAGGAGTGGGGAATCAAACCCGGTTCTCCCAGATTAGAGTCCGCACACTTAACCACTACACCAAACTGGCTCTCAGTGGGGACTGTGGGGACGGGGGATCTCCTGGAATTACACCTCAACTCCAGGCTACAGAGATCAGTTCCCCCAGAGAAAATGGCTACTTTGGAGGGTGGACTCCATGGCATTGTAACCCACTGAGGTCCCTGTCCTCCTTAGGCTCCACCCCACATTTCCAGGAGTTTCCCAACCTGGATCAGGCAACCCAACCCCACACCTCCCGCCAGTGGCCTGGAGGGACCTGGTATCCCTTACACCCTAAAAATATTAAACAGTAAAATCTAAAAAGCACAAAACCCAGCAATGACTATTGGCAAAAGAACAGGCACTGGTTGTCAAGAGGAAAAGGATGTTTTAAAAATCAAGGGAAGCACAGGTTTTAAATATTCAGAGACTGCACGTAGCCACGTTGGTCCAAACCAAAATCCCAAATAATAATCTAGTACCTTTTATAAAGACCAAGGAAAATCCCCCAAAACAAAACAGTGGGCAAGCTTTTGGGCTCTCCAAAATGTCATCCCCAAATCTACAGTAGGACATTTTTGACAGCCGAAAAAGACAGGGGAAGCTGAAAATCGGGAAGGAACTTGTGAAAGAGCCTCTGGCCAGAATAAACCTTCAGAGAAGTTTCTTCAAAGCCCTGACACGCGCCCGTATTTTGCTGTTTGAGAACTACATCTCCCAAAAGCCCTTGTGAGCCCGGGACTTCCCACGGCGCAATCCTAACTCCCTTTGATTTCAGTGTATTTAGGAAAGGTGCAGCTGTGTTTGGGACGGCACCGTAGGAGTTAAGGTGACTGTAGTGTTTCTCCCCCCTAGAACGGTCTGTGGGGAGGTTCAGGAAAGTGAATTGCACCAGTGATTTCTTCACTTCCTGGTCTTGGTTTTCCTAAATTAGAGTGGAAAATTTGGCTTCTGCAGGACTTTTGGCTTCTGCAGGAAAGGTGAGTTGGCGAGGAGACCTTGTGGAAATAAATGGAGGGGGGGGGGTTTAAGGTTGCCAGCCTCCAGATGGAGCCTGGAGATGCCCTGGAATTACGGTTGCTCTCCAGACTATAGAGATCAGTTCCCCTGGAGAAAATGGCTTATTTGGAGCATGAACTCGGTGGGAAACACTAAGTTCCATGAACACAACTCCAGGAATTTCCCAACGGAGTTGGCAACCTTGGGGTTGGGGAGCGAGAATGGAAGGAGGGGCAGAAAAAAGCGGGCTGGAACAAGGTAATACAGATGAGTGGGGGTTTTTTGTCACTTGATTGTGTTCATTGTTATGTAGTCCTGCCATGGCTGTTCTTATTGACAGTATCTTTCAAAGTAAAGTCTGCTGTACCATAGTTGTTAATCTTCTGTTTGGATATGATGATGATTCCCGTTTTTAAAAACTTGGCACCCCCAGATCTCTCTTGCGTAGTAGATTACTTGCTTTTCAGGAGCATGCTGGGAAGTTGTACTAAAACGTACAACTGGTTGTCATCGCTGGGGAAGCTGCGATTCTTGTGCTGGATTGTTTTATTTATTTATTTTGTTTATTTAATTTATACCCTGCCCTCCCCTCTGAAGCACGTTCAGGGTGTCTTACAAGACCACTTGGCATCATAAAACAACATAAAACCATCTGGATACAATACACAATACAATTAAAAACAAATTAAAACAGTTTAGGACAACAATATATACAACATATTCATAAAGTGCCGTGTATAGTTTAACTAGGTCTCAGGAGTAGGTAGACTTCTATGGCTATTCAGCTCCAGGCCACCAATAGAGAATCAACTGGGGGGGTAGGAAAGGGGTGTCCACCAGTGTTCCCTCTAAGCTGAGTTAGTGTGAGCTAGCTCACAGTTTTTTAGCCTCTGGCTCACACATTTTTGTCTCAGCTCAGGAAGGATGGCTCCAGAGCAAACTAATTTATGCAGCAGCCAAATCGCTCGCTCACAATATTAATGCCAAGTAGCTCACAAAGTAGAATTTTTGCCCACAAGACTCCTCAGCTTAGAGGGAGCACTGGTCTCCACTGCCTTAATCAAAAGCTTGGTGGAAGAGCTCCGTTTTACGGGCCCTGTGGGATTGTAATAAATCCCGCAGGGCCCTGATCTCATATGGGAGCTCATTCCACCAACCAGGGGCCTAACTTGCCCCCACCATTCCCACAGAAGATTCAAAATGTGCTCTGAACAGGCCTTCCCTTAATCAGTGACACAGAACAAAAGGCGTGGTCCTCTTTACTTCGTCTCAATGCCAGCTTTAAGAGTGACACGGAACACCTCTTCAGACATAAGACACTAACAGAAGAAACAGAGTGTGTGGACAGGAGATTAGCGATTAGGCACACCTGTCCTGGTCTTCAGCCCGTATTTCAGACTCTGTAAATATCTGGATTGATCAGTAACTCTGATCAACAGGACATAGCTTTAAGTCCGACAACCTTTGACCATCCGTAGTGCCTGTGGAGCTAGCTTGTTAATCATTGTACCAATGTAAGCATTCCTAAGACAATCTTCCTAAAAGTATCTGTTTCCTCTGGTTTCTGGACGTGAGCCCTCAACCGCAGCGTTTGGTGGGGGTGGGGGGGGGCAGAGTGTGCTTAAAATAAACGCTTGCTGCCTTGAGAGGCAGACTGCTTTTCTACCCTCGAGAGAGAGTTGTCTCTGTGATTCCTTCAAGAGTGGTAAAAGGCATTGCTGCCCCCCCCCTGGACTCATGTTGGATTACACAGAGTGAGTCACCACCATCGAGGGATGGAACATCCAATAAACAAAGACAATAGGATTAGGGTTGTATAACCAACCAGATGTCTGAAAACAGAACTGAAGCAAAGCACAAATGTCCACACGACACATTGGGTGCGTTCAGATGCGGCGTTTGCAACGGTATAGGCGCCAGTTGCAATCGGTGTACTTACCGGCGTTCACATGTGGAACATCTGCCTTCCGTCCCTAACCGTTGCAAAACCCTTTAAACCGTTGTACTCTGTCACTAGGTCCCCAAGTGGTGGTATCCTGAGTACAACGGTTGTAATCGGTTTACCCCCGTCTGACCGCTCTCCACCGGTGTCTAGCCACTTCCGTTCGGAAGCCCGAGGCTTCCGATTTTCGCCCGCCATTTTTTTTTAAGGTTGCCGATATGCGCTTGGGCGAAGTTTTGCCCCGGCGTTTGTTTTTTTAAAAAAAGAAAAGGCCCTTAGTTTAACTTTCCGGAGGAGTCCGGGACTTCAGGGAGGCCAGTTTGGGCTTTAAACTTTAAAGGTAAGTCCTTACCTTTAAACTTTAAATGTAATAGGGGGTGTTTTGAGCATGCGCAAAGATTGCCATTTTGTGGATGGCTGCCTATGCGCATGCTCAAATCGAGGTTTTTTTTTAAAAAAGCCGATGCCCGCAGCATGTGAACGGGCATACAGCGATGGGCTCCGCTGTAAGGGAGGTAAGTGTGATCGCGTTTCAGCCGGCATTAACTGCACCGGTTCCAACCGGTACAGTTTATGCCGGCTGAAACAGCACGTCTGAACGCACCCATTAAATGATGTAAGATTACACAGCGGGATCCAACTTACAGTACACTATACACAGTAGTATAGACCACAGTCCTTAATAATTTATCCACGTAACTTTGTGAATCTTTTAGTACATGTGAATCATTTAGTGAATGGCTGCCTATGCGCATGCTCAAATCGAGTTTTTTTTTTAAAAGCCGATGCCCGCAGCATGTGAACGGGCATACAGCGATGGGCTCCACTGTGAGGGAGGTAAGTGTGATCGCGTTTCAGCCGGCATAAACTGCACCGGTTCCAACCGGTACAGGTTTTGCTGAAACGCCGCGTCTGAACGCACCCATTAAATGATGTAAGATTACACAGCGGGATCCAACTTACAGTACACTATACACAGTAGTATAGACCACAGTCCTTAATAATTTATCCACGTAACTTTGTGAATCATTTAGTACAGTGCAGCTCTATTGCCTGCATAGGAAAGACCTCTTGAATAATTTCAGTTTTGCGTAGTTTGCAGAACTCTCCCCACACGTTCCCCAGAGAGCACTGCGTTCAGGGCCCCAGAACCGACTGGCCCTCCCGAGTCTTAAGGAGGCCAGGCTGGTGACAACCAGGGCGCGGGCCTTCTTGGTAGCGGCTCCATCCTAGGGGGATGAGCTTCCAGTGGCGATCAGGACCCTGCGGAGCCTATTACAGTTCCACAGGGCCCATAAAACGGAGCTTTTCCGCCAGGCTTTTGGAGCCGCCGCCACCTTTAACAACTAGGATAAGAAGCCCTGCTGCCTCTGGAACTTATACTAACAGCCTGTGCCAGCCGTTGGAAAGACACCGAAGGACAACTACAGAAGACCTGCGAGCCGCCTCGGGAAGAGAGAGTCGATGGCAGCCATCACAAATTTTATAACAGCAGATCTAGCACTTATTTGGTATTATAGAATTGTAATTTGGTTTTAATACTGTTTTCATTGATTTATTGTATCATTTTAAATGCTCTCTGCTGGTTTTATGTAAGCTGCCCTGAGCCGGCGCTCACTGGAAGGGCGAGGTATAAATCTGAATAATAAATAAATAAAATAAATAAAACCAGAAAAGGGGGGGGGGCTTTCTGGCTTCCTCAGGCAGGCATGCTCCAACTTTTCCTGTATGCCGGAAATGGTCTCCATTTTGTGGTCCTGATCAACTTTGGTCTTTTTAACATTTTGTTTGTCTGTATGATGTTATTCATACCAGAGGCTTCCTCAACAATCCTTTGGGTTTCAAAGTTAAATCTCCTGGAAGTGGGGAATAAATACAGTTCGAGTGTCAGACTAGGATTGGGGGGTCCCCACTTGGATGCATAAGCGTGCTGGATGACCCTGGGCCGGTCATACCCTCTCGGACTGACCTACCTCCCAGTGGGGGTTGTTGGAAGGATAAAATGGGGGAGAGGAGAACTGTGAACACAGGAAGCTGCCTTATGTCTGAACCTGACCCTGGGTCCATCAAGGTCAGTATTGTCTACTCAGACTGGCAGCGGCTCTCCAGGGTCTCGGGCAGAGGTCTTTCACAGCACCCACTGCCTGGTCCCTTTTCTTTTTTTAGCTGGAGGTGCTGGGGATTGCACCTGGGCCCATCTGCATGCCACTGAGCCACAGCCTCTCTCCAGAGTTGAATGTAAGCTGTTTTTGAGGTCATTCATTCATAGGGTCACTGTTAAGTCATAAGCAACTTGATGGCATATAACGTGCACAGTATATTTTTATCCTGCCCTTTCTCTCAAAAGCTCAGGGTAGCCCATATGGTGATCGTTATCCATTGCAATTCAGCAGCCTCTCTTTCCAACTGATTTCTAATTGCAACTGATAATGAAGCTCAAGACAATGCATTCACTTGGACTGAACCGAGACCTAGCTTTCCTGTCTCATTACCAATGCCGATTTCTCTACACCTACTACCTCTCTGCATATCACGCCTAGTCCAATCACACCTGCTATTGTCATTTGCCTGCTAATGTCATTTGGCATCTGAAATCACTCCACTTTCCGATATATAGGATAGATGGACTCCCATTCTAGCTGTATCGGAAGTGAGGAGTGACACACAAAATCTCCTCCCCTGCCACAAATTTAGTCAGTCTTTAAGTTGCTCCTGGACTCTTACTCTTTTCTACTGCTACAGACAGACTAACATAACTACCCATCTTGATCTGCCCCAGATAGAGTGTTGCATCCAGTGCTCCCTCTAAGATGTGGAGTCTTGTGAGCAAAAATTCTACTTTGTGAGCTACTGGTATTAAAGTTGTGAGCGAGTAATTTGGCTGGTCTATAAATTAGTTTGCTCTGGAGCAGTCCTTCCTGAGCTAAGAAAAAAATGTGTGAGCCAGAGGCTAAAATACTGTGAGCTAGCTCACACTAACTCAGCTTAGAGGGAACACTGGCTTCCATCTATACCTTGTGGCTAATAGCCACCGACGGACCTCTGCTCCATCTGTTTATTCAATCCCTCCTTGAAGCTGTCTGTGCTTGTAGCCGCCGCCACTTCTTACGGCTGTGAGTTCCACGTGTTCATTATAAGAACATAAGAGAAGCCATGTTGGATCAGGCCAGTGGCCCAAAATAGAGAAGTAAAGAACGATGTTGTATGCTGAATTGGGTCTCCATTGGGGAGAAAAGCGTGGATTAAATATCTAAATAAATAAATGAAAAACGGGAAGGTTATTCATCACTTTCCCAGATCCCAGTTGGACACTCTGGTCACTCCTCCACCACACTGACCTGCTTCAGAATCCAGTCCAGGACAGACTTAAGCAGAGAAACTAAGCAACGTATGTCAGGGGGACAAGATCCAAGAGCCGTGTGTAATGCTGAAACGGGGAGACTCGTGGGGTGGCCTTTTGGTGTGTGAATATATGCAGTGTGATGATTAGGGGAGGGTGTTCATTTGTGAAACTGTGGATCTGTGCTGTCTTCCAGAGTAGAGACACCAGAAGAGAAATTACACCGAGTGGTGTAGGAAATCTCCCGAATATTGAGGATGCGGCTTGGTCTCCGTGCAGCGACTGTGGAAGAGGCACATCTTACGAATAATCGACAGGTGGCCATGCTGGAGGGGCAGGTGAGAATGCGGAGTTCTCCAGAGGGGCTCGGCACTCACAAGCCGGCTCGCTGGTTCCTACCATGAAGCAAAAATTCAGCCTCTGTATCTGGCTGTTCCCCTTCTGTGTGAGAGCCAGTTTGGTGTAATGGTTAAGTGCACAGACTCTAATCTGGGAGAACTGGGTTTGATTCCCCGCTCCTCCACTTGCAGCTGCTGGATGACCTTGGGCTAGCCATAGTTCTTTTAGAGCTGTTCTCGAGAGAGCTCTCTCAGCCCCACCTACCTCACAGGGGAGGGGATTGTGGAGAGGGGAAGGGAAAGGAGATTGTAAGCCGCTCTGAGACTCTGAGTGAAGGGTGGGGTATAAATCCGATTGCCTCCTCCTCTTCCGGTTCTGTGGTCCATAATCTACCAGTGTTCTCCTTGCCTTTCCATTGTAGTCCTGATAATTCCATACAAACCTCCTAGTCCTCAGGATACCTTCTCTTCTTTTTTATGGCTTCTTCTTTCTTCAGATCCTTGTCTCCGGTCCTTTTCCTTTTCTTAAACCAGTGGGTTGGATCCAGACTGAACTGGCAATTTCCACCAATTCCCCCTTCCTGCTGCAAGCCCCCTGCCTACCCGTGTCATTCCTTGGAGTCTCCTGTCCCTCAGGAGCAGTATTTTGTGGAAATCAGCGGGTCACAGTGTGTGAGGTGGGGTTGCCAGCTCTGGGTTGGAATGTACACGGAGATTTTGGGGGTGGAGCCCAAGGAAGGCGGGGTTTGGGTAGGGGAGGGACTTCAGTGGATTATAATGAAATAGACTCCACCTTCCAAAGCAGCCATTTTCTCCAGGTGAAGTTATCTCTGTAGCCTGGAGATCAGTTGTAATAGTGGGAGATCCCCAGCCACGACCTGGAGGCTGGCAACTTTAGTGAGGGGGGAGGCAGGAAAGTCCTGGTGCACAATAGGGAAATTAAATCTCTCCTTCTCCTTCCCTCCTGCAAAAGACCTATCATGCTTCCTCTCCGTGTGGCCAGCATGCTGATCTTAAACCCAGACAGCAGAGATGCACGGAAGGGAGTAACTAAGTAATACAAAAGATACAAGGATCAAACCATGCAAAAAATAACAAAGAATATATATTCAGCGATCAATGAGTATAATAATCTCAACCTAAATGAACAGGGTGGTTTTTCAAAAATACAGAATAGTCGTCAGAAACTCAAAAGTACACGGTCCAAATAGCACAATGCAGGTCCATAAAAAGCATATATATTTTTTTATTTGAAGCTTCTTGTTTTAAGGAATAGCACTTTGGTTACAAGGACACAGACCACGATGTACCGAAATCTTTCTTGAGTCAAAGTGAACCCCAAAAGGAGGCGGGTCAGTTGATCTGCAGCTGTCGTCTTATCTGGGACTGAAGTGTTTGATAGGCTTGTCTTCCGTTTCTCTCCATCACTGTACGGAGAATGAGAGACAGGTTGGTGCAGTGAACTGATCGGAAAGCGTGAGTCAAAAGTGATAGTGCGTTTTCCGAAGGCCAAGGGAGGGGCTGTGGCTCAGTGGTAGAGTGTCTGCTTGGCATGCCGAAGGTCCCAGGTTCAATCCCCGGCATCTCAAGATAAAAGGATCAGGTAGGAGGTGAGGTGAAAGACCTCTGCCTGTGACCCTGGAGAGCCACTGCCAGTCTGAGTAGACAATACTGACTTCGATAGGCCAGAGGCCTGATTCAGTACAAGGTATCTTCATGTTTGCAGGTGTCCCAAGTCGCTTCATTTATTATTATTTATTTTATACATTCTTATGCTGCCCCTCCACCCAATCAGATTCATAGAAGCACAGAGCGGGAAGGGGACCTACAGGCGATCTAGTCCAACCCCCTGCTCAATGTAGGACCAGCCTAGAGCATCCCTGACAAGTGTTTGCCCAGCCGCCGCTTAAAGACTGCCAGGGAAGGGGAGCTCACCACTTCCTGAGGCAGCTGATTCCACTGTGGCACAACTCTTTCTGTAGAAAAATTTTTCTAATATCCAGCCGGTACCTTCCTGCCCTTAATTTAAACCCACTATTGAGAGTCCTGTCCTCTGCTGCCAACAGGAACCGCTCCCTGCCCTCCTCTAAGCGACAGCCCTGCAAACACTTCAAGAGAGCAATCATGTTCCCCCCTCAACCTCCTCTTCTCCAAGCTAAACATTCCCAAGTCCCTCAGCCTTTCCTCATAGGGCTTGGTCTCCAGATTCCCCTAAGTGGAGAACATTAAAAATAATTAAAGCATTTGAACTATTAAAAATACAGTTAAAATGATAAAATAATTCAAAACCCCCCCCCCAAACAGACACATAAACAAATAACACCAGAACCAGGAAGGAGGGTCAGTCACCATTGTGGGAATACTTGTGGTTCAGGTCAGGTCAACTGTGGCGTCCAAGATGTTCACTCGCACTTTCCTGAACTTTTTGTGGGGGATACCTTTCCAAGTCTGGATGAAGAAGTGTAATTTTTATTGCAACTGGTTTCAGATCTTCCAATATTTTGTATGCATGTGTGTGTGTATATAAAATGGATTTTGTGTAGACAGATTTTGTGATCCTCTACAAAGGCTCTGGAATAGGAAGAAACGATCAGCTGGAAAAACGTTTCCTCTTTCAGGGACCACCAGTGTCTTTCGAGGACGTGGCTGTATTCTTCACGGAAGAGGAATGGGCTCTGTTGGATCCGGACCAGAAAGCTCTCTACCAGGAAGTTATGGAGGAAAATTATGAGATGGTGGCTTCTTTGGGTACGGGTTTTTGCCTTTTTGATGTGAACATGGAAGAAGGAGGAGACAGGAAGTTTCTCCCTCAGCCCCTCTTTAATCTAACAGCCCAATATAACAGGCCTTAGAGAGAACATCTTACCTTGCCTCTGTCTAGCCATGGCAGTACATTGGCGTGAATGTATCCAATGCATTTGCAAGTCATATAGCCCTCCTCTCTCAGTTCCTCTATTGACGGAGAGGGCTTTCTTTCCCCGAAGAGGTAAATTTTATCCTAATTAGGTGAGTTTCTGGACGATGGGTTCATCAGTACCATTTAGCCAGGATGTCTACATAGAGAGTCCATGTTCAGAGGTAGGGAAAAATCCAAATGCTAGTGCTGGGGGGGGGGCATTGCAGAGCTGGAAAAAGTGCAGAGGGAGGGGCAACCAAGATGATTAGGGGGGTTGGAGCCCCTTCCTTGTGAGGAAAGGCTGAAGAACTGGGGACATTTCAGTTCAGAAAAGAGACAATGGGGGGGGGGGATGAGAGAGGTTTATAAAATAATGCATGGGGTGAAGAAAGTCGACAAAGAGAAATTTTTCTCCCTCTCCCAAAATACTAGAACTTGAGGGCATCCAATGAACCTGATGGACAATAGGTTCAGGATGGACCAAAAGGAAATACTACTTTACACAGAGAGTGATTAAAATGTGGAATTCACTGCCAGAGGATGTAGCAATGGCCACAGGAATAAACAGCTGTAAAAGGGGATTCGATAGATGCATGGAGGATAAGTCTATCAATGGCTACTAGCCATGGTGACCGAGGGGAACCTCCACATTCAGAGGAACTAAACCTCTGAATCCGAGAGCCAGGAGGCAACATCAGGGGAAGGCCTCAGCTTCTATGCCCTGCTGTTGACCCTCCAGAGGAACTGGTTGGCCACTGTGCGAGACAGGATGCTGGACTAGATGGGCTATTGGTCTGATCCAGCAGGGCTCTTCTTCTGTTTAATGTAGCAAATTGGTGACTTGGCCTCTGTGTCCTGCTTGTGGCCCTTTCGGAGGCGTCTGATTGGTCATTGTATGAAACAGGATGGACCCTTCGTCCGATCCAGCATGGCTGTGCTTGTTTTCTCAGGCACATAACACAACATCCTTGAAGGTCTTCTTTCAGATTTGAGCCTTGGGTCCAGTCCCTGCCGTCTCCACTTAAACAAGGACCTGCCTGAGTAGATCTGGGCAGAAAACCATTACCTGTGTCCTTGGAGAAGACGGCGGCTGTTACAGCAGGTGGCACTCAACTCGATAGACCAGTGGTCTGATGCAGTATGAAGCATTTTCACATCTTCCTGCAATAGGAGGATGAGAGCATCCTCGAAGGGTATAGCCCTTCCTTTGCGTTTTGAAGGTCCCAGGGTCAGTCATGGTGATCCTAGTTGCAAGGATCTTGGGCCAGACACATTCCATTCATTCATTCATTCATTCATTCATTCATTCATTCATTCATTCATTCAATTTATATCCCACGCTCCCCCACTATTGTGGCACTCAGCATGGGTTTCTGTAGTGTAATTGTTGGTTTCTGTTGCAAAGCAGTTATCATGTTGACCTAACACCTGAAAGGTCCCTGGTTCAAAACTGAGCAGAAACAACTGGTTTTCATCAGAAGGGCTGTGGCTCAGTGGAAGAGTTGCTGCTTGGCATGCAGAAGGTCCCAGGTTCAATCCCCAGCATCTCCAGGAAGTAGGTGGTGTGAAAGACCTCTGCCTCAGACCCTGGAGAGCTGCTACCAGTGTGAGCAGACAATATTTATTTACTTAACTGATTCGTACTCTGCCTTTCTTATCTGGACTTGAGATGGATTACACAGAGTGAGTTAATACACTTCATAAGAACATTATGAACATCAGAAGAGCCCTGCTGGAACAGACCAATAGTCCAGCATCCTGTCCCACACAGTGGCCAACCAGTTCCTTTGGCAGGCCAACAACAGGGCAGAGAGGCCCTACTGTGCTCAAGACGCATGAGAGCTGAACGCCTTCCCTTCTGTCTGTTCTGCAGCTCAGAAAATGCTTGCCTGATAGGCTCTAGCCTGTGCCGTCCGGTTCCTGGCACGGCTCTCCCCTCCTCCATGCCCCTTTTCCTCACCAAATCCGTCTCCTTGCTGGCCCTTCTTGCTCTGGGCTCGGTCCCAGATGTATGGGCTTTCCTTTTTTTCTGGGACAAAGATTTTATACATTGCTTGAATATTGGGGGGGGGGAACTCTTTAAATCAGGATCGTCTCCTCTCACCTTGTGCATTTCTTGAGCCCATACAATGGTTGAGTTGGAGCCACAGTGTGTATATTCTCAGTGCACAAACATTATTGCAAGGTATGAGTTTTGGGGGACGTTAATTCATTGGGTTGCCAATGAGCTAGAAGCCATTTGACAGTGCTTCACACACAACCACACGAATGTCCTCTTTTTTCTCCCTTTCCCCAAAGGACTCTCAGTTCTCGGATCAGGCCTCGTTTCCCAGGAACATCGAAAGGAAGGATGGTTCCTCCACGGCTCCGAGGAAGCCGCAAGCCAGGCCGATGTCAGAGTCACAGGTAATGGGGAGGAAGCAAGGCCCTCGAGGGTAGGGGCCGTGTCTCAGTGGAAGAACCTCTGCTTTGTGGGCGGAAGGTCCCCAGTTCAATCCCCAGCATCTGCACTTGAAGGGATCAGGTCGCAGGGGATGTGAAAGACCTCTCTCTGCCTGAGACCCTGGAGAGCTGCTGCCAGTCTGAGGAGATGACTTCTGCGGACCAAAGTTTTAGTGGAGGGCAGCAACAGGAGGTTAAGACTTGGGACCCTCTCTCTTTTCTTCTCTGGCCCCCACGTACCCTTCCCTTCCCTGCAGTATAGCGGTGTTGTAGCCAACAGAGGAGGACCACTTTCTTGCCATCTCGATTGGTTTTAACTTTTTGCTTATTGCCCAAAATCTTGATATCTATATTACCTGTATTTTTTAATCTCTGTAATGTTGTAAATTGCCAATAATAGTAATAATGAATGATGATGGTGATGTCTGATTCAGTACAAGGCAGTCTCAGGGCTATTTTTGGGCAGGAACGGAGTTCCGGCTGGCTCCCAAGTTGGCCACGCCCAGCAGAAACTCATTAGCATAATAGGCCACACCCAACAGCAGCAACTCATTAGGATTGGCTACAGTTAGGGGTGTGTGGCCTAACATGCAAAAAGCCCTGCGTTTTGACAACAAACAAGGTAAAGAGAATAAGAAGCAAAAGGTGGGTGTGGCTGGATGACCACACTTCTGGTAACACGGGGGTGTGGCCTGTTATGCGAATGCGCTGTGCTGTCAGGGTGTGGCCTAATATGCTAATGTGTTCCTGCTGTTGGGTATGGCCTATTATGCTAATGAGTTACTGCTGGGCTTTTTCTACAAAAAAACCCCTGGGCAGTCTCATCTCTTCATGTGAGGGACCAGTTCAGATGATGGAGGGCTCTTCCACTTTGTCTGATGCAGAACGCTGCCTCCATGACAGGTGCCATGTTTCTATAGCTGCTCCTCGTCTGGAACTTACAGCTGCCCCAGGAACAAGTTAGAGGGGGCGATAAATGGACGTGGTGGTGGAAAGGGCCATCGAGTCGCAGCAGAATTATGGTGACCCCCCCCCACACACACAGGATTTTCAAGGCCCAAGGCAAACAGAGGGCATTTGCCCTTGCCTGCCTCTGTGTAGCAGCCTTGGACTTCCTCGGTGGTCTCCCATCCAAGTGCTAACTTGGGCCAACCCTCCTTAGCTTCCGAGATCTGACAAGACCAGGCTAGCCTGAGCCATCCAAGTCAGGGCAGTAAATGTGCAGCTAAAGGTAAAGGTAAAGGTTCCCTTTGCTCGAAAGCCAGTCGAATCCGACTCTAGGGTCGCGGTGCTCATCTCCGTTTCCAAGCCGAAGAGCCAGCGCTGTCCGAAGACGTTTTCCGTGGTCATGTGGCCGGCATGACTAAACACCAAGGCGCACGGAACGCTGTTACCTTCCCACCAAAGTGGTCCCTATTTATCTACTTGCAATTTCTTGCTTTCGAACTGCTAGGTTGGCAAGAGCTGGAACTAGAGACGGGAGTGCACCCCGTCTTGCGGCACCCGGGTCTCGAACTGCTGAACTACCAACCTTCCACAGCCTGCAGTTCAGCGTCTTAACCACTTGAGCCACCGCAGCTCCGAAATGTGCATCTACAGATAAAATAAAATGGAAAATGGCTCATGGCGTACTCCCGTCTTCCCTCTCTGTGATGACCCTTTGTGTTAGCTAGTTTTCTTTGTAGCTAGATCTCTTGGCTAACGAGAGGGATCTTTTGGTTATGCTCTGTGAGAGAGAACTTGTCTCGGAAATGGGAAAGACCAGGCACCATTGTAAATTGATAAAATTTTATTTAAACATAGTCTCTAATAGCAGCTTTTCCATCATCAGCATTAAAAAAAATTACATTATGCACAGCTCTCTAATGCTTTATTTCAATCTTGACAAGATAGGCCAGAAGCAAGGTTTTACACAGCAATGGCATATTGTCTCACCACTCTTGAAGTACTCGTAGAAGAGACGAAAATGACAGCCCTCTGGGTTCCTATGGAGACAAACGTTGGAACAAGGAGACGGGAGCGTACTCCTCTCTCTTGACCCAACCTCCATGGCACCCGGTTTCTCCTTTTATGTCTTTTTTTTTCACCTATCCTGTTTCCCTGTTTAACTAATCAGAAGCCCTGACCTTTAAATTGTTTTATAATCAATTAGAATTGTTAATATTATCTCATCTGACCTTTAGACAAAATAGTTGTTATTGCTATCTTGTTTTTCCCGGGGCTTCCCATCTTTGGAGTTCCGCTTCCTCGCCAGGGTCATCTTGACCCTGTGTGGACAATCATGCAATGACTTTACATAAGGTTTCTTATGCCAAAATATGTCCTAATCTGGAAATATTTAGTTCTAATGTCCATCCCTGGTTCTGGAAAACACCTTACTTCCCTGACCTAGCTAAAACTTGTGTGGAACATAAGAACACAAGAGAAGCCAATGTTGGATCAGGCCAAAGGCCCATCCAGTCCAGCACTCTGCCACACAGTGGCCAGAAATACCAGGTGCCACCAGGAGGTCCACCAGTGGGGCCAGGACACTAGAAGCCCTCCCACTGTCCCCCCCCCCAAGCACCAAGAATACAGAGCATCACTTGCCCCAGACTGAGAGTTCCTATCTATACCTGGTGGCTAAGAGCTGTCTCCTGTGGCAGTGAATTCCATGTGTTAATCACTCTTTGGGTGAAGAAGTCCTTCCTTTGATCTGTTCTAACCCGACTGCTCAGCAGTTTCATTGAGTGAAATTGTGAAAAGCCCCTGCTTATTTTGTGGCCTCACGAGTTATGCGATCTCAACCAGCCAGGCTCCCTATTTATTTAGTACATTTAAGAAAGTGGTGCACAGTGTTTATTCTTCCTCTGAGAACACCAGAGGCGCCTTCCAGTGGCAGAAACAATGAATGCTGCCCTTCACTCTCCTGAGCTCTGGTTCCTCCCCCTTCCTGTTTTCAGATATCGATTGCAGGGGCTTTTCCAGGGGCTCCCCCCTTCCAGTTCTGGAGGAAGAGACATTTGCTACTGACTTCATCAGCTAAACCTTTCCTCCTTGGAGCTCTGACCTAGTACTGTTGGCTGTGGCGTCTCAGGAGGCTGTACAGGGCACCCTGTCTCCCTCAGTGCTTCACAGTGCACTGTTAAGATTTTCCCTGACAACCACTATTATTTTGTTTTATTCTGCATACTTTTTATTTATTAACCTGCTTTCCGCTTCCCAAAGCAGCTTATCGTGTCATTCGCCTTGCTTCCTCCCCTGATTCTCACAACAGCAACTTTGCGAGGTAGGTTAAGTCAAGAGATAGTGACTGGCCCAAGATCACCCTGTGAGCTTCCCTGGCAGAGTGAGGATTTGAACCTGGTTTCCCTCAGATCCCAGACTGACACTCAAACCCATGGGGTCCCCAGCCTTTTTGAGCCTGCGGGCACCAATGGAATTTTGAGAGGGAGTGGAGAACGCCACTCCAAAATGGCTGCCAGAGGAGTCAGAGCCTAATACTAAGAGCCAGTTTGGTGTAGTGGTTAAGAGCGGCAGACTCTAATGTGGAGAACCGGGTTTGATTCCCCACTCCTCTACATGAAGCCAGCTAGGTGACCTTGGGCCAGTCACAGTTCTCTCAGAGCTGTTGTCTTAAGAGCAGTTTTCTCAGAGCTCTCCCAGCCCCACCTACCTCACAGGGTGTCTGTTGTGGGGAGAGGAAGGGAAAGGAGATTGTAAGCCACTCTGAGTGAAGGTGAAGCGATATTAAAATAAAATATTAAGAATGCAGCTAGCCCTCTCCCAGACAAGACCTTTGGTAATTGGTCACCTGGCCCTCAACCCCCACCTTTTTCCCTCCTCCCACCTAAAGCTTGTTTCTAAAAGCCTTTGTAAGGCGTGACCTATTTAGTTAACTGTCAATATCAAACTTGTGGTTAGAAAAAGGTCCAGTAACCATAGGAATAGGACTATGGTCGTGCTTCGAAGGCAGCTAGGTACGCAAATTTGTAACAGCAAGCTAAGGCATATCCTGTAACAGGAAAAGGTTTTTGTGTAAAAGAAAATTCCACTTTGCTTGTGTGACGTATACCCAACGCTGTGAACTGGCTGCATAAAAAGTCTTGTATCTGTGCATTTGGGGGTTCAGCCATTTTCAAGCACCTCGGTGCTGGCTGGACCGGACGTCATTAAACCCTGTCCTCCTGCAGAATCTGGTGTGATCTCATAAGTCTGGACATAGGCTCCTCTCCCGTGCTTCAAAGGGCAGGGTATAAATCCAACTCTTCTTCTAAAATGGCTGCTGCAGGATAGGGAGCCAAATGTGATACCTCCCTTAACACTTTGCAACTATGGGAAACACCTTCATTTGAATGAGGAGAGCCAGTAACAAGCCCTGCCTTACAATGGCTCTTCCCACTACCCGAAAAGCTTGCCTGGTGCCGAGCGAAGTATTGGCGGGTGCCGTGGTGCCCGTGGGCACCATGTTGGGGGATCCCTGTTCTAACCACTATGTGACACTCACTCTCAGATAAATATCCTCCACACATTTTATCAGTTTGTCTGAAGCACTCCTAACTTAGGTTTAATGTTGTTAGCGTCGTCGTTTGTTTTCTGAGGTGTCTTTTCTATAGAGATTCAGGGCTCTCCTGTCTTCTGAGGGTCCCAAGACTCATCGCTGTGTTTCTCTCTTTATTCCAGCAGCAGGTGTGAGGGAAACCGAGAGTGAGGGAGAAACAGGTGGGGGATCTTCAGGAAGAGACGAGTGCCTGCAGGTTGAAGCGGAAACTGAGAATCGAGACAGAGCGAAGAAGCGACAGAAAAGGAAACCCAGTCTTAAGAGACCTGAGAGGATCCAGACAGGAGAGAAACTATATAAACACACCAAATGTGGAAAGAACATAAATAAAAGGAAGGACCTTCCTTCACACCAGAGGTGCCATACAGGGGATAAACGGTACACGTGCCTAGAGTGTGGTGAGAGCTTCAGCCAGAACAGAGATTTTTTTGCTCATCAAAGAGTGCACACAGGGGAGAAGCCCTATAAATGTCTTGAGTGCGGAAAGAGCTTTCGCAGGAACGACCACCTGATTTCGCACCAAAGAGTGCACAGAGGGGAGAAGCCGTATCGATGCTTTGAGTGTGGGAAGTGCTTCTGCCGGAGCACAAGCCTTACTGCGCATCAAAGGATGCACACAGGTGATAAACCGTATCAGTGCTCGGAGTGTGGGAAGCGCTTCAGTCAGAATGCTCACCTTTTTTCCCACAAAGGGATCCACAAAGGGGAGAAACCATATAAATGTTTGGAGTGTGGCAAAAGCTTCATTCGGAGAGCACACCTTTCCTCACACCAAAGCATCCATACAGGGGAGAGACCATATAAATGCCTCAAATGCGGAAAGAGCTTCCGTCGGAGTGACCACCTGACCTCCCATCAGAAAGTCCACGGAGAGTAGAAACCGTGTCAAGGAAGGTTTTCTCCAGATACTGAGTGCTCACACCTTTTGCTGGGCCCAGACTTGGATTGTTAAGAAGCCCGATCTCATTAGATCTCAGAAGCTGACACAATCTGTGTTGGCTATCTTGCATTTTTTTTACTAAAAATTCTGTTTGTAAGTCTTATTGTTTGTATATCTACGATGTTAATGTTATACCATTTCCTGTTGTTATTTCTTCATATTTTCAATAAAATTTAATTTTTAAAAAAATCTCAGAAGCTAAGCAAGGTCGGCCTTAGCTAATATTTGGATGGGCAACTTCCACGGAATACCAGGGGCGTGATGCAGAGGCAGGCAGTGGCAAAACCACCTCTGAAACGTCTCTTGCCTAAAAACAAGTGCATAACACTAAAGAGCCAGAACTTCTGGCTGCTAGACAATATTAGGATCTGCTGGCTATTCTACACACAATGTCATACGATAATAATAATTATTATTCCTAGACTAGATGTCACAAACAGCCAGAAGGTTTTAAAGGGTCATGCCCGCATACAGCCTCTCTCCCTCCCGTCCCCTTCCTTACTTCATGGACACCAAGACCAGTGGCAGATGTCCCAGTTTTTCAAAGCCTTTAGTTTAAGCACCCGACATCCCTGCTGGTCTCCCATCCAAGTCCTAACCAGGGCTGACCCTGCTTAGCTTCTGAGATCTGATGAGATCGGGCTAGCCTGGGCTATCCAGGTCATTGTCTGCAGAGGCAGGCAGTGGCAAACCACTTCTGACCACCTCTTGCCTTGAAAGCGCCACGAGAGGTTGCCCAAAATCAGCTGCCACTTGATGGTGCTTTGTACCACCAGTCCAAAAGCAGAGCAGGATTCTAAACTCCAGTGTAATCCTGGTCTAGAATCCTGATTTGGGCAGAAGAAACAAGCTCCCATTTGTCCATGTGCCTGATGTTCCTGCATCATGAGAATTAGTTAAACAGAAAGCTTTCTAGTCAGGATGTGCACCGTCGCGTTCTGAGTTCGGGAGGAATGGAGAGAAGAGAAAAAGGGGAGCCTGTGAGAAAGGCCGACTTATCCATTAGGCACAGTGCCTAGGGCCTGTAATACTTTTATTTTTAAATTTTTTTTTAATTATTTTAATCATAAAAATATACATTGAATAAACATTAACGTCATATACAAGCTATGTAATTTCATTTTTACATAGAAAACAGTATATATACATATAGTGTATTTTGAGCAGATATATCTAGAATATATGACTTGTTATAATAACAAACAACAAAAAAAATAACTGAATAACCATTTACAAACTCAAAAATTAAAATTAAATAATCGGGCCTGTAATACTTTTAGGGGGCCGTGAGAATGTTTTAATTTCTTTTAAAATCAGAAGAAAAAAGAAACGCTTAGGGTCGAAGAGAACGTTTTTAATTTTTTTCTCCTATCAAAAAAACCCAAAAATGTTTAGGGCCCACGAAAATCTATTAAATTTTGTTTAAAACTGGAAAAAATGTTGAAGTATTTATTTAAAGTTATATAAAAATAATTTTTAATCTTGATGTTATTGGGGTGGGAGGGGCCCAGGAAGGCATAAGCACCTTGTGCCCATGAAACTTTTAGACCGACAAAAGTGTTTTATTTTTCCCCATAAATAAGAGGAAAAAAATGTAGTAGTCATAACTCATTTTCATGCCTTTAGGCCTTGAAAATATGATTGTGTTCGTCTTTACACCAATGCAGTCATAAAATATAATTTTAAATATCTCTTGTGGAGGAAGGAGGCAAGGCCCAAGAAGGTAAAAGTGCCTGGGGCCCACGCATGTAATTTCATAGAAACAGAGGTGCAGGAGCTCATTAGCATAACTCATTAGCATAACTTATTTGCATATGCCCAGGGGTCGTTTCGTAGAAAAAGAGCTAGGGGGACTCATTAGCATAACTCATTAGCATATGCCACACCCCCTGACATCATAAGGCCCGGCGGTGGACCTGCAAGGCCAGCGGGAGTGCGAGGAAGCCCCGCCAAGGCCCTCCCTGGCCCCAGGCAGGCAGGGGTGGGGAGAGGCGGGGAGGAAGCAACTTACCCTCCCTCTTCTCCTGCCTCCTCTTGCCTCCCCGCCCCTGCACCTCACCCGGGGGAACTGCGTTCCCCCATGATCCCCCCCGAAATGACCTCTGCATATGCCACACCCCCTGACATCACCGGAAGTGTGTCAGAAGGCAACACCCGCCACTCAGGCTCCACTGGACTCTCTTGGATTGCTAGCTTTTGGGGGGGGGGTGCAGATCTGTCCTTGAAGAGGAGGGAGAGCTTGTACCTGAATAAAACTTGGTCTTAAAGGTGCCACTGGACTGTTTTGGACTGGGGCCAGGACAGGGGTGGTTCTGCAAGTTACTTGGCTGCTTCTTGCTCTGACTGAGGGCTGCTGGGAGCAGGGGGCGGGGCTTGTTGTATGTGCCTGCCCCCTGGGCTCTTTACTGCCGGAGCGCCGCTCCTGTGCGCTCCTGCAGGAAATGACCCCTGGTTGGTTCCAGGATCCTGGCGAGCTATTGTTCTTAAGTGACAAGCTCAACCCGTTCCTAGAACAGTTTGAGGAATGGCTTACGCTCAATACATAACACAAGGTCAGTCACCCTGGAGGAAATGGCTGCTTTGGAGGATGGACTCCAGAGCGTCATACCCGGCTGAGGTCCCTCCCCTTCCCAAATTCTGCCCTCTCCGGGCTCCCCCCCCCCAAAAAAAAATCTCTAGGGATGTCCCAACTCAGAGCTAGTGGCAACCCTATTCCCAGCCCAGAGCCAGCAAAATCAGGCGGTCAGAAGCCCTGCTGGCCTTAGCCCCTGTCGCTCTCTAAAAGCGCCAGTGGGGGCCCATGAGCCCATGTTGGTGCACAAATCCGTGCCCGCGTGACCCCTTAGCCGAATTGGAATCACACAGTCGGAGTCCAACGAGTTAGATGAATATCTGTTTAATGCACTGAAAACAGGGAATACAGGGCTGAATGCCTTAGGTTTAGCACCTCAGCAATTCCAAAACGGTATTCTGCCATAACCAGGAAGGGCAGAAGGTCTTATACCCCAAATGACATCACATATAGTTTATACATTAAAGAATCTCTAATTGGTACCAAGCCATTGACATCATACAAGCATCATTTGACTTTAAACCTTACCATTGATCCCTTATGTATTGTCAGTGATTACATTTGCTTATCTGCTCTTCGGAGAAATGGGAACATTCGGGAACACTGAGAACCTTTCTGACCTTAGTGAAGCTAGTCCCTCTTTCCC